GGTAACATGGCTAGGTGCACATTTATGTTAAAATGAAGTACAGGTAATTAGACTGTTGTCCACCTGGCCCACTTTTTTCTCCGAGTGGGCTTTTTTTTTTTTTTTTTTTTTTTTTGTCCCTCCCTCCCCCCTCCTGCCCATCAGCAATTTGAGAATCTTAAAGCAAATTAGGAGAAGAGCTTTCAATAATCATAATTAAACATGAGACAATTACCGAGATGAGGTGCCCCTTAATCCTGTTGAAATTGGAAAAAACTGGGGAAAGCAAACTAATTTCCTAAAGATTTTTTTCCCCATCAACCCACCTAACCTCTGCTAAACCTCATGCCTCTTTCCATATGCTGCTTCCCTCAGCTAGCACATCTGCAGATGCGTGTTGCTACTGCTTTGTGAGAGAGACCAATGCACTTTCAACTGCTACTTCTGCTCTGTCTTGCCCAATTTCACTAGCTCTACCTGTAGAAAGCTAATAATAAGCAGGTTGCCATAACTTTTTAAAGAAACTGAAGGAAACATCTTAATGCAACTGTCAGTCTACACACGTACTGTAGGCACTCTCTCTCTGATAGCCTGGAGCTTAAAAGCACTGTTCTTTGCCAAGGAAGAGGCAGCTATCTTCAATCTGGCATCTGAAAATGACAAAGAGATCTATCAAACAGAATTAGGAGCACAGATCCTTCCTGTTCTGTTTAGCTTTGTAATTTAATATGAGTCAAACCAGAGGCCTGGCCTGAGGAGAGGCGCTCCTTCAAATCTAATGAAGTGCTGCTCTAGTTTACCATCATTGAAATATTAATATGCAAACTTCCTATATATACATACAAAAAATATAAGCCCATATTGTACATGACAGGAGAGGTTTATCAAGGAATTTTGATGTTTGGAGCTTTGCTTCCAATTTACACTTGTTTACTGGGTATGACTGGATGTTTCACAACCAGTTTTATATTATTCTTTTCAGTCCACTCCAGAAATTTCAAGAGAGGGAATTTCTGCCGTGTGGTTAGGAATATTCCTGAAACATGACTTAAAGGCTTCAGAAAGGTCCAGAAAGATATTTTCCAGATGTAATAAGAAAAGAAGTTTCCAAAATTTGTCTATAGTTCCACTTATTTCCCTCCCCCCACACTCTTTATACTTATACAATCCACTTGCACCAAACTATAGTGATTTCTGGCTACTGTAACGTATGAGAGGACTCATTGGAAAAAATGCTTTTCTCTCACCTTTGATGCATAGTCTGTTTGATGAGAAAACAGTGGAAGAGCAGTGAACTATGTTGACACCCTCCATCCTCCAGATGAAGATCTGGCTCATTGTGCTTAGAGGGTGAATTATAGCCCCCATGTCAACCCAGGTCACTTTCCTTCCCTGGTTTTATTCATGTTCTTTTTTTAAAAAAAAAGCTCTGATCATTTATGTTACAAATTCAAATCATGGCACTGTGCATATCATTTAAGGGTGTGCTATTGCTAAATGATTTAAACAAATGATTTTCTTGAGACCCAAGGCAGAGTTACTCTTTAGGAGTGTTTCAGCAGTGCCCTCTCTTAAATTTGCCTACAGGGAAAAACATGATCAAAGACACATTTTTTTATCTGATTTTTTCTTTCTTTCTTTCTTTCTTTGCCATCTCCTCTACCTTCAGTTTTGCTGTGTCTTGTTTAACACCTAGGTTGTAAAGTATCTGGCAGGAGATCTTTTTGTCACTTAATCATCTGTCACATATCACAATGGGATTCTAACCCTCTATGGGCACCAATGTAATGTACATCATAAAAGATGAATTCTACCCAGGGAATAAAGTAGAGTTTATTGTTTATGGAAGTCTTGACATTAAAAAAAAAGCAGGACAGGAAAGCAAAAACTTTATCTGTTTTACATTTCAGGATAACAGCCCTACAGAAAGCACAAGGACAGAAGCAGGGAAACCTAAACGTAGACGACTTCTTTCCTTGGACACATTCAGAGGGTAAAACTTTCCACCAAGGCTTTGGTTTCTGTGTGTTTCTTAAATAGTTGGATTTTATTTAGTGTAATGAAAAGATATGCTTATAAGGAGTGTCCAAAAGAGATGTAATAAGAGCTTTCCTGAAAAAGAAATTTGGTTACATGTTCTCCTTAATGATCTCACAAATAATTTAGCAAATTACTGTTTTAACAAAGACTCTTTGGGTCTCCATCTTACATATGGATTTTCTCTTAACTAGTGCACTTTCCTGTCATAGTCATCATTCTGTTGTATGTTCCTTTTCCATCATTTAAACTCCAGATTTTGATTTAAAACCCCAAATATTGGAAAACCTCTGGCTGAGATTCAGTTTTTTAAAACCAAAGCTCATCTTTACCTAAGTCAGGATATGTTAAATGAGTTGTCTATTCCATTAGTTATTGTAACTTCTGATTGCCAGTTTCCAAAAATCTTAGGGAAATCCTGAAAGAACAGTTTCCACTTGGAATGGAGCTGGCATTAAGTAGTAAATAGTAGCATGTTAACACAAGCCCTGCAGCTCAGTGTTCATGTTTGTTGTTCCTCCCATGGTCTCCCACAGCAACTGCATTTACTAATATAATGCTAGTGAAAAGATTTAATGTGCTTAGGATGCACTTAAAACAGCTAGGGGTGTTTGATCAGTCCAGCTTCTTTACACCCACTGAGAAAGCACAAAAAGTGATAGAATATTCCCTATAGTCTGATATGGAGGAAACTCTGGGTTTCTGCCTGTTTGCCCGCAAGTTTTTCTTTCTTTCTTTTTTTTTTTTGCTTAGTATTTTTCCAGTAATTCAGGAGTTGGCAGCAGTATATGGCTGCAGCAGGAGCAGTGTGGCATTCTGTCAGCTGAATGACTCCAGCATAGGCTGTGGGCCAGTGAAAGCCAACCACATTGCAAAAGCAGGCCAGCCTTTCCTATGAAGATCACTATTGCACTGCTGTGATGTACAAAGAATGACACACCATTTTAAATCTCTGTTTTAGGTGCTACCTAAACCTTTGGTAGGCATGTGTTGGTGACCTCCCATGGGTGTGGGTGCACTCATTACTGTACTGAACCTCTGTCAGATTCCTCTGCCCTGTTCTGCACATCATGCTTCCAATTTGTAAACTGTATTAGAAAAACAGCTGAACTGTTTACACATATTTATTCTGTACGAAAAGCCTACTTTTTTACTGTGCTGGCAACTAAGCATAGTAGCATGCTGCAAAACTTACTACAAGTGGGTCAGAAAAGATTCCTCCCAGATAGACAAATCTAGATGAGCTTCAATGGACTGATGCCCACTCATTGGCAACTTGCAATACATATTTACATGCCTCCACTGCATTAGGAGTCAGGTACTTGGACTCTGTTACCAGATCTCTCGTTTTCTGGAACAAGTCACTTTCCTTGAGGGTCTGTGTTTCCTTCTCCACAATTTTTCTTTCATGTTTGTATTTGCATACAGTATTTAGACAACAGTGTCCCAATCACAGTTAGAATTTCTGGGAGATACTCGTATATTTTATTATATATAAATTATATCATATAACATTATATATAATAAACACACATTTATTAGATTATATAAAAAACATTATTTAAAATAATGTGCTGCTATGCACTGAATGAGGCAGGTATCCTTGAGAAAAATAATACATTGTCATTTAATGGAAGCAGCGGAAGGCGTCTGAGTTAAGGCTGCATGGGCAACCGTAGGCATAGTCCTAAGTTTTGAGTTCCTGGATGTGCAATTTTAATAACATTTTTTGATATCCATTTTGTGTATAATTGCCTAGTTTTTTAAAAAACAGACTGACATCCCTTCCAAATCTGGCATGTGCCATCATATTGAACTCACATGGGCTATCAACAGGCTTAGAATATTTGCAGTCTACTGCTTTTGAATCAGCAGGGTGATCCCTATAAACAAAAGAGACATGGGTTCCCTAATCTGTGGCAGTGTCTAGTTTGGATAGGAGCAGCTGTTACAGGAGAAGTCTGGCTTTCCAGAGTGGAGTATCCCCAGACAATCTGTGGGCATGGTGACTGTAGAGCTGGGTCAGCCACAAGAGGTGGTGAGAGGTTTAAATATCCTTAGTGAGGGTCTTATAGTTGAAGATTTTCACTGTCACAAGTGAAGAAGTCTCTTTTGAACCTGTGAGAACTGTGACTTTTGTAGCTTGGTCAGATTTCGGGTGGACTTTATTTTATTTGGGTGGATTTTAGTGGGAATAGCAACAGATACATAAAGGCCAGCTTCGGATAAATTTCCGTCCTTGCCTAATCCAAAATGAGACGGCATAAAAGCCTCTTAAAGAAAAGGCTATCAGATTTTTTTAAATCCACATGATACAGTATAATTTTCATTAGCTTCATGCTTGGAAATGACTTAATTTTCTTAAATTTTAAGGTAGACAGTAGCATGGAAAACTTCCACTCAAAGAGCATAGTTATAAACACACAAACTAACGTCTTACAAAAGGAAGTGTTGGGCAATGTTAAAAATCCCCCTATAAATAATAATACCCATGTTTCTAGTTAACTAATGGGTATTTTGCCTTTAACGTCACCTTCACCAACTAAAAATTTTAAAAGTTTACCAGATTTTCATTATTGATGTGTCTGCAGCTCTGTTTTAATGTCAGACCTAATGCTGGCACTGGGGAAAAGGCTATTGTAGCTTTTCACCAGTGGTGCTTTATGAGACGACTGCTTTTTGCTGAACAAACAGCTGAAAACCTTATGAATTCTTTTTTTCTTGTGCAGTAATTGCAACAACTGGAAAAGGGTCCCAAAACATAGTCACAATTGGTGATTGCATTTGTTTTGTATTCTCTTTGCAGAGTTGAGGAATCTTTGTGAAAGAATAAATAGTCATAGTTTATTTTCAGATTCTCTTTCTTGGCCCTAGGTTTATATAAAGATATGGCCTGTGCCACTGTCACTTAAAAAAATCAGTGAGCTGCTTCTGCCAGCTGGTAGAGGGGGCTGTTAACTAACAACAGCACCCTCCAGACCAGAGCCCAAGCAAGGGGCTGAAAGCAGCTTACAACCATGAATATGGGTAACTGAACAGCAGTGAATTCATGAAACACTTGGATGTACTAATTGTCCTAACCCAGCGCAGTGCTGAGCTCTGCTGTCTTTGATGGAGTTGCTGGTTTTTAAGGATTGTAGAACCTTAAAGGAATAAAGACAAGAAGTCTCTGAAGAAATACAGTATTAATTTATTCCAAAGAAATGTCATCATTAAAATGCCAAAACAGTGGGCTATCACTGTAGGTCTCCAAACTAACAGAGTGAAACTATGTACAATTTCAGGCCCTGTATGAGAATAAACAGGAAAGTACCTACAAGTAATTTGCTTCACAATGATAATCTGTGCTTTAAAGCAATTACTTTTAAACTTTATTAGTAGACTGATTTGATTTTTCAGTCCTATTGTTACAGAAGACTCTTACACAGGAAGGCTGATAAGGGCAATTTGAAAGCAAAAACCAGATTCTTAAGTCTCTGATTTAAGATTCCCCAGTAATGAAAGGTTCAGCTGTGCAATTACAATAGAGTTTTAAATGAGAGCCCCTCAACCAAATAATCAGTTTGTTAGAACTTTTACAGACTAACTAGAAAACATTATGGATAGTAAAAATATTAATTTTCTTTTAAAATACAGAGAAAGAGAAAATAAAGATTTAAGAAATAAATAAAGCCCAACTAAATATATTTTATTCCTATAAGTACAGAATAGGGAGGCAATTAATCACATTCTAAAAAACTCTCATACACATTTACCTTTAAGCATGAGAATAGAGTAATACTGGAAAAATCTAGGTTTATCTTGCTGCACATGACAAAACATATATTTATTTATTCCTTTTGGTATGGCATTACCTTAAATTTATATTAGTTTACTTAATAATTAAAAAGCAATACCATCATTTCTCTTTAAAATTCCCATTTAATATTAGCAAAAAGATAAATTATGAACATAATTAACTAATAGTTAGTTAGAAGTATCAATAGTAGCTTGTGCTTGAACTGCTTTTCTGAAGACATGGTTGGGATCCCATTTGAAAAGGAACCACTAATGGCATGTTTCCACTGCAGGCTTTGTCGGGTAGCTGTGTCAGCATGGAGCTCAATGTATCTAATTGCTTATTTATCCTATCCTATGGTATTACTACTTACACTAGTTAAAAGCAAGTCCTGCCTGTATATTCTGCACTAGAGTCATTCAATATTTACGTTAATTGCGCTCTTTTTGTCCTTTCAATTCTGTTGCATCCAATATTGTAGCTCAAAAGCAAGCAACTTTCAGTTTGTGCAGGGCTGCTATACTTCTGAAGTCAGCTATGGGATCTGTATTGTGTATCATATTTTTTTCCCCTCAGGTTGTAACCCCTCACTTCCTTCTCCTTCTTTGTGCATGTTGATGTTAAATAGCAACTAAAAGGAAACCTCTGTAATGAAAAGGCACGGAGGTCATGAGCTAGTTACAAGGCAATTTAGACCTCTTGCAGGCCTGTTCAGTCAATGAAGATATGAGCCTGCTTTGGATAGGAACATTGAGCTTTTATTGTAAAATATGAGGGAAAAGAAAACTGATGTAGGACAGCCTAGTGCCTGTGTGAGACTTAATTGAATTTTATGGGATGTATGCTGCATTCTGCTCTGGTGCAGGATGTACAAGGTTGGTCTTGTCACCACTGATGTACTGTAACTGGGAAAGGGAGTAGCATCCTATTTGAAAATAATATCGGACTAAACATTTATTCAAGCAGCAAATGAAGCTCTGAGAAATATTTTTCTTGTAAGCATAAAAGTAACTTGCAGCTAGACTGTGTGATGGGGGGCGGGGTGTGAAGGAGGAGGTTTCTCAGCTTGACCAGAGTCACTCGAGTTTCTGTCTCTGTGCAGGACACATTTATTAAGAAAATTAGCTAGCATTCGTAAAAGCTGATCTCTTCTCCTGCTTCCAAGCTATAATGCTGCC